TTTTTTTTTTTTTCTTTTTTGAGACTGTCTCACTCTATCACCCAGGCTGAATTGCAGTGGTTCCATCTTGGCTCACTGCAATCTCTGCCTCCGCATTCAAGCAATTCTCCTGCCTCAGCCTCCTGAGTAGCTGGGACTACAGGCATGTGCCACCACACGCTAATTTTTCTATTTTTAGTAGAGACAGGGTTTCGCCATGTTGGCCAGAATGGTCTTGAACTCCTGACCTCAAGTGATCCGCACACCTCAGCCTCCCAAAGTGCTGGGTTTACAGGTGTGAGCTACCACACCCGTCCTCAATGTATATTTTTAAAGCTTAAATTCTCTGATTCCTGGGAAAGGGAATTTGCTTTCACCATATTACCCCTTCATCCACTCACTTCTCCCAAAATACTAACTTTTAGTCTATTTAAGCAGAGAGATTAGCAGCCCCAAATCAAATCGACAGCTGTGGAATTCTCTCAACTACTAATTGGCATCATAAGTAACAGAAATGTTACCTAATGCTGATTATTCTCTCATGTTTGGCACTGTCTTTCCTTTTAATTAGGTAAAACATTCTCAGTTATAACCTTCATCTTCCAGGGCCCATTAATCAGCTATTGCTTAAGTTCTTTAAGAACTCATTTAGGTTGTGCTTATCATGGAAATTACATTTTTATGAAAGATCCTGGTAACAGAGTCTAAATAATTGAATTGCATAAATTCCCAGTAGTTCCTTTCCTTTTAATAAGCCTGACTAATTTAGTTTAACTAATTAAAAGCTTTGTCCCGGACTTCTCTAATGTGATGTTGTAGTCTAGCATAGATTTTTTTTAAATAGTACAGTATTAAAACATACAAACTGATGTTTTTGTGTGAATTATGATTCTTTATTCTGACTGGTGCCTACAGAAGCAATAGAGAAACTATCTAGTTTTGTCTTTTTCCATAGAGAAAGCTTGGACTATGTTTCTGGAAGGCACCCACTGTGGGGTGCTGCTTGTTCTGTGGTGTTGCCGTGCAGCGACTGGGAGCAGTGGAGGGCTGCCGGAGACCCTCTGAGATTCTGCTTTGTGCACACACGCTGCCTGCAGGGCACGGCATTCTTGAGCCTATAAAGGAAGACTTCCTGGGCCCTGTGGTTAGTATCCCCCGCACCCATATCAGCCACTAGCATTTTAAAGATGGTTTTAGGTGGGCACGTAAGGACCCAGAAAAAAAGTTTCACAATTACTTCATGTCATAGTTAATCAGTGAATGACATTACCTTTTAATCCAAGAGCCTCATCCCTGTTTTCTTGGTACTCAAAACTTTTACCAATCTGAATCCTAGTGTCATACTCTGAACACTAACCCCACCCATCCCACTGTCGCCAGATGGAGATCTTAGACTTGCAGGCTTCCAGCGGGATTCTTCTAATCAGCATCCACACCAGTGCAGCTGGGCACAACTGGGAACAGCAGGCTGGTCTTCAACACCTGGCTTCAGAGGCAGGGTAGGACTCGAGGCGCTTGCGCAGGTGGTTGGCAAAATCCACCTGGGTCTGGGACAGGACCTGGTTGATGATGCTCTTGGGCAGCCACCCCTGCAGTAGGAGGTAGGAGAATTTGACCATCTTGTAGGTGATGGCCCATATAGACACTCTTGCACCTTATCACAAACAGGCTGCCAGGGGCTTGGTCTTCAAGCTCTGTTAATAGGTGCAGCCTTTGAATTGGCCGGGTCAGGGGCCAGAGGACTGCCTTGCTGTCGTGACT